CAGAATTCTCGTCCTTCATCTCTATGAATTTACTGTTCTTATCTAATAACATATTTTTTCTATCCTCAAAAAGAAAAAAAAACACAGCGTTGAGCCTTGCTATTGTAATCTGATAATCATCATATGCTATTGTTAGTCTGAATATGTTTCTGCTCTTTCTTGATATCTTTTATGAGTTTTCAGCTTGGGCCTGGTGGTGTTGGCCATGTTTGGTCAATATGTGAGGGAGGTCACGAGGAAGAATGGAGACATTCAGTTGCACCCATTCCTGCTGATAAACTTGCTGAGGCCACTCAATCTTTGGAGGATGATTTGGAATTCTTAAATCTAGATGGAAATGCTCTCTCAACTTCTGGGGAGTTGAAGCCTGGTCGTAATGGTACTGATTCTGAAGATGATGATGCTGAAGATTCCAGAGATGATTCCATTTACTACGAGAAAGAGGTGAAAATCATGCAGCATTTGGATGACAGCAAAAATTTCACTGATAGTTCCCACAAAACCTTGAATATTCCACTATGTTTTGCAGGTTGAAGCAACTTTTTTGAGGGCTGTTAATGAGAATATCAAAGTACCTGATGTAATTCTTGAAATGAACTCTCTGCGGTATGTTAGATTATTTTTGTTTTCTTAACTGGACCCATAACATAGATCTCGTATTGATGCTCATAATGCAGATGCCTATTTATCAATACTTTACAGGGTAAATAAGTTTATTAAGTTCATTTTCATACATAATAATCTACACGTGTATAATGAAGACTCATCGTCAAAAGTTGATAATTTTCTACCTTTTAACCTGTTCTCCTTCCTCTGGTTACCTCTTTTGGCTTACTAATACCTTATTCTGATTTTTAGTTTATTTCTTTTAAATAATTTATTTAATAAAGGCTTATTATCAATTGTCTATTGAAACACATAAAAGATCCCAGGTTTGTGTCTCTGGCTGAAAGCTTGCACTGAACCATTTGATTTAGTGTTTTTGCTTGTTTTCATGCACAAAACTGTACATGTCATGATGCCTAGCCTTTCCCGAGTCAATAGAAGAAATAATGTTTGAGTTTTGAACCTTTGAGTGGCTTTGTTACCATCATCTGCCAGGGCTGAAATAGGAGGCAGTTGGAATCCCCTTGGTAAACGGAATTCGATAAATGGCTGATATAGTCAATAATTCTGTGATTAGTATTAATTATTATTTTTTATTTCATTTTAAGATCCTGTTTTGACCTTTGTTTGAACCTGTAACACCACTCAGTCTTGTTCAACTAGTAGTCTTCTCTTCATAACTTTCTATTAGATGTAGGATGGACAAACTTTCACATAAAATGTGAGTAATGATATATAAAAAGCTCATAATTTTATCTAGATGAGTGATTATTAAATTATATTTTCTATAAAATTCTTTAAATACATATAAATAAGGTGATATTAAATATTGTAAGGGACTGTTGTATTTGGCTCATGAACAGGTATTATTGCCTGTTTAACTCTGCTTCTTCCTCTACTGCTTCTGAATAGTGGACAAGTAGTTCATAACCATGTCTCCCATAATGTATCAAATATTCGACACATTTGTTTTGCTAGTCAATTTTTAAATTATCGCTATATTTTTCATCCTCTTTAGCATTATTAACCTTGTGAACCTTTCAAACCTAATCCTTTGAACTCATTGAAGGAAAAAGTTTGGAAGAATGGTTGCATTCTGGAAAATATTGAATTGATAGAACTAATTTGTCTGAAACCTTCATCTTAGCCTTGCCTGTGTGAGGTTTAATATGGATGATGTGTTTTTACCCCTTTCCTCTTGATTGCCTAACCATTTTTATTTTTATCTTCCCTTTTCTGTTTAATATTATCAACAACATATAATTGCTCAAAGTTATGCATTCTATCTTTAATTTCATTTCCCATTTCAATTTTTAGGTTGTCATACAACATGACATCCGCAGACTGTGCTGGGGCAATATTTTATGCAATGATGAAACAGGCATTAGAGATTCCACATGCTACTGCTGGTAAATACTTCTGTACTTGTGCCATATTGTACTACACATTCATGCAAGTGAATTATTTTCTTTTCTATGAATGATCTGAGACAATAATTTGTTCTTGATGAGTGAAAATACGTTGGAAATTTTGTGAATATCTCTAGATAAGGGGTAATATTTTATGGGCATAACGATTAACCTATTTCATTTTGCTTGTTAGGCAAGGTAGGATGGAACACATTAAATGATGCTTTGAATCTGTCATGATTTGAAAACTAATTCCTGCTTCTAACCCCTTCACAATTGTGATTGCTTTTATTATTTCTTTTTTCTTATTGTTGGGTAGGAGGGATGAATCAAACTCTGTGGCTTCAATTAATATTTCATGTAACCTTTCAGGTGAATTGCGAAAAAATGCAGCAAGCATTATAGATGCATGGAACAACCTTCTAAAGTTCTATTCAAAGGAAATAGATGACCAGGTTTGCATTGTTGATCTTCTTGACTAGCCATTCTTTACATATCTTTCATCATCTTTTATCAGTCTTATATCATCTTTTCAGAGAGAAACCTCATTCAAATCTTTATATATTCGTTCTCTATTGACAATCTTTTTATTACTTCTGTATAATATCCTACTATTGGAGTGAATATTGGAGTTTTACTTCCATTTATTAATTTATAGGGAAAACAGATATGTTTTCCCGCTAAATCACTTATTCTGTTTCTTCCTGTCATGCACTCTGACTGCCAAGGTGATTTCTCACTTGAAGAAATCTTTAAAATAGTTCTGATTGTTGCTTTCATGAAGAATTTGGATGGATAAGATAGTTCATTTCATAAACAGTTCCCTCAGTTGTCCATGGGTGTTAACTTGATATCACTTGTACAGATTGAAGTGATAATGAAATTTGAAGAAATGTGTCTGGAATCTGTTAAGGAGTTCTCGCCCCATTTTTCCCAGGTATTTTTATTTTCTTGGATTATGTTTATTGATCTCTATGCATTAATAACTTCTGATATGCTGGCCTCGATCCAAAAAAAAAATCTTTATTGATGCTTCAATAGGTGAATGTAAACTGTTGTTTGTCATGTTGGTGATCGGGTCATATGATTTTCTCTCAGATTTTGCATATTTTATATGATAAAGACATTTTAGAAGAGGATGCCATATTGAGGTGGGCTGATGAGAAAAAAGATGCTGAAGAATCAGATAAAGTTTTTGTCAAGCAGTCAGAAAAACTCATTCAAGTAAGATTTAATACTCTAACCTTACTGTTTAATGAATTAGTTACATATGCAATCACACTGCATCTTCCATGCTTGGATGCCAATTGTCTGTGTTGGCTGTCACGGGTTCTATCCTGTTTCTCACACAAGTAGGAGCCTTCATAGTCACAGCCTGGTAAATAAATTCAGAGAAGCTCTGGGCCTTAATAACTCCCTCTCTGATATGTTCCATCAATCATGCATGATTGTTTGCCCATGCTACTATGAGAGTTAGAAGGATAGAGGACGTGCACATATAGAGTTGGATGAGCTCTGGATTGCAGCCTATGAATACTTAAGTCATTGAAATCTTTGCCAAACATTTTTTTCTTCTTCTTATACTACTATTCTTTTATTGGATAGCTCCCCTAAACTTGACGCATGATGCTATTATTGCATCATATAACGTGCGAGTTCACATTTTATATTCATCTTTGTTGTAGTGGTTGAGAGAGGCATCTGAAGAAGAAGATTGAGATTGGAAAGGATTTGGTTTTGGTTTTGTGCTCTAAGCTTTAGCTTTGAAATTGAGACAGCCATGTAGGTCACATGGATGTACTCTCTTTATGTTGTATTGAGGTTGTAAAGTGGGGCTACATCCATGGACTTTTGAACTGATTAGTTGCCCACGCTTAGGAAATTAAATTCATCTCATTGAGCATTTAATTTCTTCTTTGCAAATTCACTGCTTTTTTTGACCCAGTTTTTCGGTTTAACTCGAACAATACAAAGACATGTGGATAACGGTGGAGAGGTACTCAGGACCCTAGAATTTCTGAAAATTAAAGTGGAATATACACATTTCGTAATACAGTAAGGATGTTTTTCTTTCTCAAGTCTTACCTCATATGGACCTTTTGGAATTGGCCAATAGTCGGTGGTGCATCAGGATATTGTCTAATGTCTATTGATGGCAAGTCCCTAATCATACAAACCTAAAACCTCTGAGGTGACCTGTGGAAGGGATCAGAAAATCTAGGTTTTGTGCAGCAGGGCACGTCTTGATGGTCTTGAAACGATTGTTTATGCTCCTCAATTTACTGAATTTGTTTCCTTACAAGACTTGAATCTAATATTCTTGAAGTTCAAATGACACCCTCTGCTTTTAGTCTCACCCCCTTTTATAATTGATTCCTGGCATGGTTATTAAACCTGACCTGACATGACTTAACAAAGGGTTGTTTTATGATTATTATTTTTTTGTTTAAAATGATGTCAAAACAATGTCGTCTTGGGTAGATTTGGGGTCGATCTGGCCAAGTGCCCAGTATGATAACCATGCTTCCATGTTCCTTTTTTTGCCTTGGTTCAACCTGCAGCCTTCCCATTGAGAAAGTGAGGGAGAACCCTTGGAATCCATTGCTGCTCTGGCAACAAGGTTTTCTTAATCACCATCAATGCTTAGGTCACACTATCCACTTCTCAAGGGAGGCAGTCACATTGCAAGAAATAATCTCGAATTAAACAAGACCGACAAATGCGTGATCATGAGTTGAGGAAAGAAAAGCAGCACTCCCATATTGTAATATTATTACAAGACGTAAAAATACGATTAAAAACTACCTCTGGTTGTGCTATCACATAACCGTAGAAATGAACAACAATACAAGGTACTCGAAGAAGAAAGTCGCAAATCTCTATCCCACTATTTAAGCCACGATTGTGTTCATAACAATCAGCAAGTCAACATGCGGTGATCAGAAACGACCGAAGAAAGTCGCCAATCTCTATCCCACTATTTAGGCCACGATTGTGTTCATAACAATCAACAAGTCAACATGCGGTGATCAGAAACGACCTGGACCACCTGGACCGCCTGGACCGCCAGGACCGCCCGGTCCACCAAACATGGGTCCACAACACCTTTCAAAGATGCAGCAGCAGCACAGAACATAGCAACTGACAACAGAAAAGGCAAAACCATGTCACTGCTTGGAACCTTGTCATAAATTAAATCTAGTTTCTCTTCACAACGGGTAAAAAACAAACAAAGCCTAGTTTTACACAGCACATAGCAGAAAAAGATAGAAAACTAAAGTTTATCATTAATAACTCTAAACATAAAGAAAACTTTAAATAAATTCTTCAATAATCTTGAGTCCTAACTAGGAAAGGATTCCAAAAATAAAATAAAAATAAAGAAAATCCCCGAACAACAATTTCTAGATCTCATTTGAACATGATTATGATATCAGAGGGATTACAACAAGGTGATCTACTTACACAATCAAGATTCTAAGTTATGTTGGCATAAGGAATTATACTCCTTTATACTAAAAGACTTGTTTGGCTTGTCCAAACTAATTCTTGGACTTCAATTTTTTATTAGCTGCTCGTGTTATATTTCCATTCCATGTTTTTACAGAAAAAGATTATCATTGTCATAATATTCCTAAATCATATATAAATACTCTGTGAATTGTTTGTTCTTTAGAAAATTAATTGATCATCGATAATATTTGATATACCATAATGGCTAGAACATTAAAGATTCAAGAAACTTACAAGTTCATGTACCATACCTCTTGAGATCGAAGGAGGACAATATCTCATAAGAAAGTCAGTTATAACACGAATATGGGCTAATATATATCATCAATCATGGATCAAGCATCGCAACCTACAATTAACAAGAACAACAATAAAGAGAAGAAAAACTCACCATGAATTCACAACCCTGCAGATACCATCACATAAGAAGCCAAAGCAGCCACAAATTCCCGGGCCTCCGGGTGGTCCTCCCGGCGGCGGTCCCCAACCTGGTGGTGGCATCTTCTCTCTTTTAAATAAGTCGCCCTATGGACCTGTATCTCGAGATGCAGTTAAGCTAGTAATATGATGAGAAACAATGGTAGTGTCCCATTATTTATATAGACCATCATTAGATAAAGGAAAAGAGAGCTTAAGAGATAAGGAGTGTTGAAATCTCAAGAACAACCTTGGACTAGTAAGTAGAAAAAGTCATCCATAACCTTCTTTGTAATAGATATTAATTTCTCGTTTGGGGTTGCGATGCAACCCGTTTTTGTTAAAATTAATTTTTAGTGTTTTTACAATATTAAAAATAAATTGAAAAAAAATAAAAAATTATTATTTTAATATTTTTTGAAACAAAAAATATTTTAAAAAATAATTTTAAACACCTTCCGACAACTTAAACCTAACGGTCAAACCTCCAAATTGTCAACATATGCATGCATGCTTTCTCATCAACTTCGCTCTACACATGGTTACATGGAAGGAGATATTTTTTTTGCTCCACAAATTTCATCAACTTCACTATTCACAAGGTTGATGACCTATACTAGTCGCTTTCCTAAGCTTAGTACATTGATACATAATTGTATTAATTTCTTGAGCTATTTTTTGAAAAACAATTTCTTGTTTTACAAAAATTAGTTAAAAAACACTTTGATAAATAAAATTTTATGTCTCATTATAAAATATATCGTGCAATAATGACCACTGTACAAAGTATGTGGAGGGAAATCAAACTTCAAGCTGTTTAGCAAGCCCGTCTACAGGGACACAGCAGATTTTTTAATTTTATTTTTTAGAGGTGGTCAAGAATAGAAATTTTTTTCAAGGAAAACTTGAATTTTATTAATTTTGATCCAAAATTTTTTAATTCTTCAAGGTAACAAGGAATTTTGCCAGCTTCCACCTGCCTATATCTTCACCTGTGTTGATTTTATATTTGTTTGAAAATATAGTAGATATTATATTTTAAAGTATTTTTTATTTAAAAATATATCATAATATTTTATTTTTTAAGGTATATTCTCGATTTCAAAACATCAAAACAATTAAAAAATATATTAATTTTTTTTTTAAATGACGAAATGACGTTCAACTGGAAGGCCAAATTAACATGCCCTTCATAGATAGGTATGCTACTCTTAATTTCATAAGCAAGCATCTTACCACGTAGGTTTGTCTAAAATCAAGAGTGGTAAGAGATTATGGCTGGAAATTGGGTGACGAGAAGGCAACATTCTAAGCAGTTCAAAGATAATTAACTCGCACAATCCATTCGTGTGAGATCTGTGTCCAAACTTGGCTTTCTAATGATGTTAGTGTTTAAGAATTTTGCTTCTGACAGCAATCTACTCCGCTACACTCCACCTTGAAACACCGCCAGCATACGCATGTTGACGTGACGGATCCGCCTCCCCATTTTCGCCGACACAACATATTTTCTTAAAGAACAATTTATTTCATAGTCACTTGTTTTTTTTTTTCTGTTCTCTTGATTTTTTCCCCAATTACTCCTCTGATCAGTAAGATTGAAGCACCCTGTGGATGATTGATCAATGAAACATCGGGCATGCATCTCTCGTCTCCCGTCTCTCGAAGAGGATGAAGCATTTGAAGTGTTGGTTTGCAAAGTCAATGGCTACCATATGTGCACCAACGACTAAGCATTAAAGCTTTCGACAATATAGCAATCTCATAACTTTAAGAATGGTTGTTAATGATATAAATTATATTTTATAATTTTATTTAATAATTTAAATTTTGAGGTTGAATTAATTTTTTAATATAATATTATAGTTTTAATAACTAAATAATTAGGAGATTAAATCTTAACAACTTTATTTATTTGATAAAAATTAAAAATATAGGTATATATAAATTTCAAGTTCAAAGAATTTTTACTTGAAAAAATTTATTAAAAAATAATGTAAATTATATTTTGAAATCTGGCCAATCAACTTAAATTTTTAAATTAAATTGGTTTTCTAACCAGAAAAAAACATATATTATTGCAAGGGGATATCAGAAAGATGCTAGCAAGATTGAAATATAAAAATTCCCTATGAAAGGGGCCGAACAATATTAGGATAGAAAACCCTACAAACAGAGATGGTAGACCAAACATCTGGTGCAGCTAGTCATGGACCAAACGGTTCGGGTGGTCCAGGTGGAGTCTTGTGCTAGCCAGCAACAGCACAAGAATGATCTATCAACTTAAATTTTTAAATTAAATTATTTTTTTAACCAGAAAAAAACATATATTATTGCAAGGGGATATCAGAAAGATGGAAGCAAGATTGAATTATAAGAATTCCCGATGAAAGGGGCCGAACAATATTAGGATAGAAAGCCCTACAAACAGAGATGGGAGACCAAACATTTGGTGCAGCCAGTCATGGACCAAATGGTTCGGGTGGTCCAGGTGGACCGATCGAATGGACCTCCAAAGCAGTCTTGTGCTAGCCAGCAACAGCACAAGAAGCTCAGGCTGCAAAACACATAACAATTAATTAGAGAAGTAAAAAAACAGAGAGACTTAAAACCAGCATTTTAGGCACTTTTTAAAACCCAACCCCACCCGGGGTTGATTCGTGATCTGTACAATTTAAAGCTTAGTCTAAGCCAAGTTTCAATAAAAATAAAGGAATAGTTAACCCTAAAAAACCTGAATTGACGTGCAATGAGTCAGCATGAAAAAACTTAGTCAATACTCATAATTTTTTTTTTTTTTAAATGATGTACTTTTATTTCTTTATAAAATGAAAAGAATTAAATTAATCTAAATTAATCCTGATAAACTCTCCTGATTATATTTTCCATGGCTTTGGTTTAAAAACTATGATTCCGGGGGCTTAAAGCAGTCTGGCATTTCCTGGAGAAAAGTGTTTTGCAACATACGAAGAAGTTATGATGTCACAAAAGCCACCGAAAAAACCTGGTGGTGCCGAAACCCATCCTGGTGGCCCAAATAGACCTGCTGATGCCGGACTCCATCCCGGTGGACCAGGTCCTCCTGTCCCATTGCTTCCTAGCTTTCTAACAAAATTTAGCTGTGATATACCACTCCACTATCACCACCACTGCCACAACAGCTGAAGATTACGCACAGACAAGAGTTTACAAGAAACTCCAATGCGCTGCTACTTGGCAAACTACGCTATTGACATTCTTCAACGTATACTTTCCACTGTGACCGTGTCAAGACCTACCAAGTCATTACATTAATGTAATGGAACTGTCAGCAAGCACCATCCACTGTATGAGGTTGAAGTTTAGCTTGGTAGATATCTGGGTGCATGGACTGCCTACTAGAACTAACTTGAGGAGTTAATTTAATATAAACCAGGTTTTAAGAAAATAAGTGAAAATTAACTTGGTTAAACTAGAGGAATACCGAATCAACCCTATATTCGGTTTGACGTTTTAATTATTATTTTTTAAAAATAACATTTAACTTTTTTAAAAAATAAATATAAAATGACCATTTGATCCGGGCCTTGGAAATGGTTAACATTTAACTTTTTTTAAAAAAAAAATAAATATAAAATGACATCATTTGATCCGGGCCTTGGAAATGGTTTTCATCAGCAATCAGAATGCCACAGCAACCTGACACCTTCACGCCATAAAAGAAGAGAGAGAAGGAAGAAGATACTGTCACCAAAATATTAACCAAGCTATGCTGTAAGAGTCTGTGTGGGCCGGAATCATTCGGGAGAAATTGCTATGATGAATATGTTTGACCATTGATCATGTCCAGTGCTTTTATTATTACAGCAGTTTACAAACTTCGCGCTAGTCACTCTCCTTGATTTCAGAAAGGAAATCTAGACATGTGACTGATACAAAGGAATAAAGAACTCAGGCTTCCTGGAACTCTTGAAGAATTATTGGCATCTTTTACTAATCTGAACATAACTTAGTTTTCAACAAGAAAATTCTGAAGGAAAGGAAGAATAATAAACATGTACACATCGATGGAAGTTTCTCACCATCCCCAAGGAGAGCAGAAACATTTCTTCTATGGAATGAAGAAATCTAAAATGGGAAAAAGAGAACAGAAAATCTGATTTCAGCTCTCGAAACATTTTTAACCAAGTAAATATGTTCTTGTGTGTGTGAAGAATCTAGTTGTTTTAGTACACAGATTGCAGTGTGACTCTTGTATGGGAAATCACCAGTCAACAAATCTGGCATCCCATGCATGCAACAAGGTTTTAAGCCATGCTCTTTTTTCCTTTTAACCGAGTATCTCTGCTCTTATCTTTTCCAGTTGGCAGATTTGACGATCCTAGTGCATCACCAGTATTCTTCTTCTTTCGCCTTGGAGCACCGACACCAGCAGGGTCAACCAACGGGCCAGACCAAGTTTGTATTGGGTCCTTTGAGTACGTGAATGAGGTAGTACTAAATGGCACATCAGGAGGAACAAGCGCAGGATCAATGTGGTGAGAAGATCCTAAAGTATAGCCAAGAGCTCCATCCTGATGTGGTGGGGGAAACTTTTCACTCTTGCTTTTTGCATTTGCATGGTTAATTAGGCGCCTTCTCTGTTGTAGAAAGAAACAGCATGATTAACAATTAAAAGAAATAAAAGGCAAATTAAGTCATCGGCTCACTGAAAATTCTCTCGGGTTATTGTGATGATTATGAAAACATAGATTTCTCATATACTTAGTATTAGAAACTCCCCTACTCTTTGTTATGGTGGAAAGAAGGGCGGAGGGAGACAAAAGGTGTTTATACCTTGTTTGGCAAGATGGATGTGTACTCCAAAAATGAATGGAGGGATCCATCTCTTCCTTCTATCATCACATTTTTCAATCCTTCCAATTAGAAAGGATTTTACCCAATCCATCCAAACAGAGTGTTAAAAGTGGCACAAAAGGAGGACGCTCCCTTGCCAGGCAATCTCAAACACATTGAAAGTAGCAACAAAAGGAACAAAATGAAGCTCTTGAAAATTAAACAACAGGTCTGGATAAAATGAATAAAACTCACAAGTCACAAGTGGCATTGGCGAATGGGAATTTTTTTTAGTCAAATCTACTGCTATGAAAAGGGTGGAAAAGTCACATTCTTTCCACACATTCTCCACATGCTATATCCATTTATTTGGTTAGTTCTTCGCATAGAAACTGTAATCCTATGGCATGCATGTCTAAGGATTTGTAAATGAAAGCACTGAAAACTAAACAACAACAATAGTTCATGCGGGTAAATTATCAGACATACATCAATATTGGACTGGAGCTCTGCATTGGCATCGGGAGCTGGCATTGCCCTAGCATGACGTTCACGTGTACGCGTTTTCTTTGCAGCATCACCTTGGGCTTTGCTGGCAGCTCTTAGTCTACACAATCAAACAAAAATGACTTTCTCTAGAGAGAGGAAGAGATAACAGACACTCGGTACACCATATATGAAAGAGAAAAGGACATGTTTAAAGAACATCTGTGATGTAAAACAAAACAGATGAGGGAAAAGTAGAATGGTTGCATAATGATCATATTAAAATTTGTTCCAGGCAACTTCCTTGGGATATATAAGAAAGCACAAAAAGAACACAATGACAACAATCAAAGCAGACTTTATAGAGTTTATTTGCTTTCTTTTATTCCTTCGTGCTAACTCTAGTTTATTCTGACTGGATAGTTTTGTAGATGTTTTACTCCATTCCATATACAGTGTCTCTCAATCCTGTCGAAGAAAAACTTGCCTTGAATCATAATGATGTTTTAGCTTTGTACTGTCTGCAGAAATCATTTTACCAAATACTAGGAGCAAAACACAATCATATAAGCAGATCATAGATGGTTTAGATAAAATATTAACATTCAAGGGTTATGTTTGTGTGCACATGCACATCTTATCCACCCACCCATCTACTTATAAACAAGGCTGTGCATGCTGGGAAGGAGGGAGAGAGAGTGAGAGAGAGCAACAGGTTAATTTTTACCAAGATTTTGCACAAAAGCAATAACAAAAGTATATCTAATGGGGCACCTTCGAGCTTCATCATCTCGTCGTTTAGCATCCATCTCCTTACTTGGGGGATATTTTGGGAGACTAGAAGGTTCACAAGCATAAGGTTCTGTTGTGAAGAACTGCATAATAAAAGTTAATGAATGGAATGATTAAGCATGATATACAAAAATATTTCACATAATTTGATATCATTACGAGGAACGCCTCTGTTTTTATAAGTTAAACCAGTTTTTAATTCCAAAAGAAATAAAATAGAGTATTAAATTTTTGAGGGATATAACCAATGCTTTAATGTCAGACTAACCATAAAATTTCAAAGTCAGTGATGCTAGCAAATGCCAAGATCAGGTTTAGATCCATTGAGGCAGAAGCCATCACTGAATCAACTTGGTTTTCCAGGGAAAAAAAAAGCATGTGGTGTAATTGGTTACCTAATGGTCGTAACCTGCTGATTAATTTTATTATTGTTCCTAATGATCAAAATCTGCTTATTCAATTTTTATCATCAAGTGTAAAGCAGAGAGCAAAACACTACACCTTCATAACTAGAATGAAATATTGGTTAAATTAACCTATTCCACCTTGAACTTTGAGTCAAACTGAAATGAGTTCCCAAACTTCAATTTTATTTTATTTTAACTTAACTACTGTGAACTGTTTTTTGGTAAAAAAAAAAAAAAACTCTCCATTCAGGTTTCCTTTCCTCCTTTAATTTTGAGGGCATATGACAATCTATTTCTGATTTACAAGAAATGATTGTGCTCAAGTTAAGAGAAATCCACTTAAGAATTTTATACAGTCTCTGAGCCATTAAGGTTAGCTAATTACTGGATCACTATAAAATTCAGTAGCATGATTATTTAAAGTACATACAGCAAGCAAACCAACCAGACTAGTACTTGATTTCCCCCCCTTCAAATTCCAGTATATTTGAGGTTATATAAACACAATGGTAATCCAGGGTTTTCATCAGCAACAAGAAAATTTAAGATCATATGGGAATCCATGATCTACTTTCATGTTGATTTTAATTTCATCCAGAGTTCAGGGAGCAGAGCAGAGCAAACAACTATCATTGTTTTGGACCCCTCGAACAAGACACTGATTTGGCAGGAGTTGACAGAAAGAAAAGGCTTACCATAACACAAGCATGGAGATGCGGAAAAAGTTGAAGACTCCAAAAGACAACAAAACTATTGAAAATGTCATAACTTACTTCACTCTTTAGGGCAGCTGTGGCTGTCTGACGTTCCACTGGATCAATTGCAAGAAGAGTTTCGATGAGGGGAAGTGATGATGGTGGAAAATCTTTAAATGTCTCTCTTATGCATCTTTTGTAAGGCTCTCGAGGCTTAAACAAAGTTGCATTTGGCAACCTTGATTTTTTCCAGTATTCATCTGATGGCGAACCACATAGCTTATATATCTTATGTAGTTGCTCTACCTGGATCATCAAAGAAACACTTGTGTTCAGAATTGAGAGCAACACATTCATTCAAGTGTAATATTGCATTTGAATAATTTGCAATTTTGCGCGCACACAAACAAAAGCACAATATACCAAGATGCACCATTCTCATGGAAAACTAGTTAAGACCCAAGCAGAAAATCGCAACCACTGCCAAGGTGTAAAAAATCAAAAAAATCAACTATTCATTTAACAAACTCATATTCACATTCTTTGCTAATTTTTGTCACTGATTCTGTGTTCCATAATCTTCAAAATCGTATACATGTATTAATCAATAGCTCGTTTATGTTAACCTTTCACTGCCAAAGCCAAAAGATCTTAAGCTTTAATGTAAGCCGTAGCAATTGTATCCATGCATGTCCTACACCATTACATAGGTGCAGTTTAGCATCAAGTTTTGGGAACTAAATTGACTCAAGGAAAATCATCTTCAGTACATGTATCAAAAGGCTGGACAAATAAAATTTCAACTGCAACAAGATAATAGTTACCTCTGTACGACCAGGCATAATGGGCTTCCCGGCCAGTAACTCAGCCAATATACAGCCTGCACTCCACAGGTCAATGCTAACACCATAGTCAGTAGCTCCAAGAAGAAGCTCAGGAGGCCGATACCACAGAGTAACAACCCGGCTTGTCATTGGATGCTTGTGATTAGGATCAAAGAAAGACGCCAATCCAAAATCAGCAATCCTTAGTATTCCTTCATTGTCAATCAAAAGATTCGATCCTTTAATGTCACGATGAAGCACACCGCGTTTGTGACAATGCTCAAGTCCAGATAATAGTTGGTGCATGTAACATTTAACCTGGGGTGCAAACATTGGCAAATGTTTAATAAAAAACCAACCTCAATAATAGCTCTGAGGATATCCACTCTACTATTGATTCAAGACAGAAATGGGCTAACCTGAGCCTCTGTAAATTTTACTGCAGGGCTGGCAGCAAGTCCAGCTAAATCGTGCTCCATGTACTCAAATACCAGGTACAAACTACATGACATCCTGGAAGTAACTAACCCTTCCAACTTTACAACATTAGGATGATCCAATCTTCGCAAAATGAGGATCTCTCTAGCCATAAACTTCACACTCTCTGGTTCCAAATTATCAAAACGAACCTTTTTAAGGGCAACAACTTTCCCTGTCAACAGATCTCTAGCTTTGTACACATTACTGTATGTACCTGATCCAATCTACAATCAAGGATGGAAGCAACAATTTGAACAAGAAAATTAACTTGGGTAAACATTAACAAATTGGAGAAAAAAAATGACCATGTTATATTGGGCGAACCCCCTATCTCAAATGCCTCTAACCACTTTCTTTTTTTTTCGTTTGAATTTGAACAAAACTTACAATTATTATGATATTACTTATAATGAGATAACAGCTACATCATCTGTGGCAGGCATTCAAGATAGGAATTCTCTACCCAACTAACCACTATTTCACAGTTAGTTTCAGAAACAACACAACCACTGAATCTTGAATTCTGAAATAATACCTCACCTTGTCAATCTTCTCAAATGTGTCTGCCCTCCGTGGAATCCATCCATTTAGTGCCTCTCCACAGACTGCCGACAGCCAGGGTGGCCAGCCAGCTGCAACCTGCTCACCACGCGATTGTCCAGGCACGTTACTCGGCTTATAGTTTGGCCTTGACCTCCTCCTCTCTCCCCTAGGTTTTTTATCCCCATCAACTTTCTCCTCCTGAGTTTCCTCATTTCGAATCTCAACAACACTGCTAGTAGTATCGGTCTTTGTCACTGAAACATCTTCTACTTTCCTATTGGATTCAAATCTTGAGTTCTTAACCTCTTTAGACTCTGAAACTATGCCCGAAGATACCTCTCTCCCAAGAACACACCCCATGTCTTAAAACTACATCTCATTTCTCAACATGGTCTATCTGGATTTCCCAAGAATCAGCAAACAACCACTGCAAATCAATAAATTAACCACTAAGCATTAAAACAATCCAAGAAAATAACAAATTTGCACTAATTCCTATCTACCACATGATCCAAGAGAGTTTAAAATTCACAGGTCAAACTAGCTAAACTGACCAAACTCCCATTCCAAAATCAAGAAAATCCTCAACCCGGATTCCTAATTCTCAAGATTGACAACACATCAGAACTAAAAGTCAAAAACAGGAAGAAAAAAAAAAGATCGGGAGATAGAAACTTTACAGTTCAAACGAGCTCACCATTAGCACCCTAGAGCAGGTATATAAATAAAAACAAGTCAGAGGAAACCTAATCTACAAAATTTAGGCCCTTTGAAGATTCATTAACTAGAAAGCCAAGTCAAAAATGATCTGAGCCCAAGTGGAGAAAAGGAAAGAAAAAGAGAGCAGTGGATTGAGAAAGACAGGATATTTAGCTTTGAAGACAAAACAGAAGTGAAAAACTGATCTGAAAGGGAAGTGGATGGTTGAAGAAAGTGATGTCAATTGAGAAAGATACTTACTTTGATTGAATCTGAGTGAAAAGAGAGAAGGGACAGAGAGAATACAAGGAGTACAATACTGAAAAAAGTTTTGTTTTTGTTGGTGGTGGTGGAAGTGGTGGCAAGGAATGGTTTTCTGGTCGCTTTTGGGGTCTTTCTTGCTTTGTTTTCTTTTTGGTTGGGGTCTTTGTTTCAGACAAGAATAGAAGAGAAAAATAAAGAGAACCAATCAAACCAAACAAAACAGCAGCTGATCATTTCCTGTTTTGTTCCAAGTCAAATCCACAACAATCTCCCTCTCCCTCATATTATATTTTTTTCCTTTTTTTTTTTCCATTCCTTGGGGGCATGATTTGCTTTTACATCTTTCTTTTCTTTTTTAATTTCTTAGGGATTTTTTTTAATTTGTTTTAGATTGGTGAATTTGTTTAGAAATTTGTTCTTTTGCAGGGATAAATGCCATGTTACTACTAAAAAAATATTGTGACTTCTGAATTTTACTTTAAATAAAAAAAAACACAGAGAATAAGATTATATTTAGTATTATAACGCACCACCATATTAAAAGCATAATTTAAATATATGTAGTTGGGTGGACTGCAATAACATATTTCTAAAGTTATTTAGTTTTGCAAATGGGTATTATATACGAGGATAATTTAATTATTTCATCTAATTTAAAATTTTAGTTGACTGTAAACTATGCTTTTTAAAAAAATAACAAAGATAAATAAAAAGGAATTTCTCATATATTTTATTAAACATTAAAATAGCTAGAGAGTTGGCTAAGTGTTTGAAAGGATTTTTTTTTTTCCTGGGATATTCTCCTTCTCCATTAAAATAGCTAGAGTGTTGGCTAAGTGTTTGAAAGGAATTTTTTTTTTTTTCCTGGGATATTCTCCTTCTGATTCTTCTTAGACTAGTGGGAAAAAAGGGTTGAGTTCCCAAAACATTTTCAAAGACATTTCTAGTGTCACTCTCCTTTCCAGCTCATTACTTCCCTTTGAAATCAATGTTCCATTTATGAATAAGAATTGTAAGGGTGCTTTTCTTCTGAAGAAACCTAATTTTCCTAGAAGCTACAAGGATTCAGGAGAGCATCAGGCACCATGCTTAGACTTGGAAAAGATTTTTTTTGGATCGACCTAGAAAGGATCCAAAACCATGATTGAAGTATAAAAAATGATTGTAGCCAACCAAGTCTTGCAATGAATTCCACAGCCAACCTAACTTATATATATATTCATTCCACAAATGTTTAAATTATTCATCCACGGACAGGCTTAGTTCATCCATAATATACTCGATAAACAAATATCCAGTGGGACCTCAGCCCTTGTCAAATGTGTAGGCTTCCTTTGCGACCCTATCAATTATGAGTCCAGCTTCGATTTTCTTCATCCCTTGTCGAGAGATTTGCCTGTTCTTTTTTCGGCCATCTATTGCTTTTTCTTCCCTTCTCCCGGAGTATCTGCCGGATAAGAAGTACCCTGACCAGATATGAAAATTTAACAGCAGTAATCATGACAGTCAGCTTTTATATTTACTTTTTAAAAATTATCAGTTAAGTCTCATAAATTTTAAAATTATTAAAAAAAATTATATATTAATTTTCAAATCTATAAAATAACTTTAAAAATTATAAAATTAATCAAGATATCCATAAAATTAATTAAAATATACATAAATCAACCAGTTAATTAAAAAAAAAATGGCAGGGCAATGCTTTCTTGTCACAAGAGCCCTTAATAAGAATAGATGCCTGTTTGCAGTATTTTCAGTCTTTTCATTTATCCTAATCGCAACCAGCGAGAGACGCAATCCATAGTTTTCCAAATATAATTTTGCATGAAGTGTCTGATTCTGGCAAATGCTCACTATCATGTCCATGAGAATTAGAAAAATACATTGGAAACAAGTCAAAAACAAAATGAAAAACAATTAGACAGGAAAAAAGATAATTTTACACATAGAAATAAGGAGCTGCACCCTAATTTCTCCTCCAAAATTGCGGAGCACCACGTTTCCTCAATTTTCTGAGTTCTCTCAACCCTCACTCGTCTTTCTCCAAAATTGCGGAGTTATCCTTAACTTTCTGGATTTTCTCAATCCCCACTCTTCTTCTTCTTCCTTTTCTCTTTCTTCTTGCTTGGCATTTCAGATTCCTCATCCTGTTCTGCTTCGGAATGCTTCCGCTTCTTTTTCTTCTTGCCTCCCTCCTCAACATTTTCAGCTTCGTTTTGAACACCATCATTCTCAGCTTGATGTTTCTTCTTTTTCTTCTTTTCTTTCTTAGCTTCCCCTTCGCCATCCTGTTCGGCAGTTCCATTTCTGTCACCTAGCACAGTTGTTTCTTCTTCAGCTCTCTTCTTCTTTTTCTTCTCTTTTTTCTCTTCTCCACTAGCTGGAGCCTCCTTTGCTGGTTCTACTTCGAACTTCCTAGCAGTTGAATCTGGTGTTTGGCCAAGAACAGCATCTGCAGAAGGATTATATGTCTGCACAAAGAAAAGGGCATTAAAGGGTTAATTACAAGAAGAAAGAAAAACTAACAATCATACTCAAAACAAGAGGTGGACCTTGGCAGGAGTTATCAATCCTCCAGCTCCCTTCTTCCTATCCTTGTCATAAGCTTCTATCTTTGGTTTGCCCTTAGCTGACCCAGCAAAGCGACCCAATTCTTTTCCTTCGAGATTCCTTAATCGTGCTTCAAGCTACAAATTACAGTGTCTAAGAAATCCCCCGGCAATAAAAGTTGACATAAGGAACAGGTTATCATTGTCTCTAACATGAAAACTTCCATAACATACCTTTAGCCTGTTCTCCAGACCCATAGAGTCATCTTGGGCATCTCCAAGAGCATCATACCGGATTGCAAGTGCAGATTTTGCAGCTAGTGACCTGGAAATTTTACCCTTCATCTTAGGGGGAGCCTGACCAACCAAGGATGCATGGTAAAGAAGCCCATATTTTGGAGTAGCATGCTTTGTTTTCAGAGCTCTGAAGAGAGCCTTTTCTGCCCCAAGAATCTGAACTGTGCTTCCAGGCTGCTTTGCAAGATTTAACAAGCTACCCCCATGGGCAATAAGCCGAGCTCCAACGAGTTCCCCAACAAGAGCAGTCAAGTTTGGTGCAATGGTATTCATCCTGCTCTTTAAATAATCATACAGTTGAGCTCTATATTCAGCTAAAGATAAAACCTGGTCACATAGTTCTTTGATATTCATCAAGTCAACATCACTAACATCACTTCCCATTGATATCATAGCTGCCTCCTTCAGTTCTGCTTCAACTTCTTCGGGCAGTATCTGTGAAATTTTAAGAAAGAGATTAATGAAACATTCAAGAGACCATCTTATCCTACAATAGGAAAATAATATAATCGAGAGTGGCCTTGTGATCCAACATGCTGTTTGACAGTAAGGAGGGATATTGAACATTCATCTTAGAGAGGATTGCTCACTAAAGGATATTTGATAACAAATTCAGGGTCAAGAATTAGGTAAAGACAGAGCCAGTAGCAGTATCAACATGGATCAAGACATGGTAGCCTTAGAGAATATAATGTAAGCGGGTGGCATCACTGATTTCATGATAACCCCATTAACCACACACACACACACAGAGGGAGGGAGGGAGGAGGAAACACAGTTTATTGCAATAAACAAGAGACTGGATTCTACCTCAGAGAAATCAAGCTTTGCAGCATTATCACGGCAACCCATTAGTTTCACTGCTTTGGCATAAAGGATGTTGTCCTGTATGATCTTGGCAAGCTCAGGAAAATGCCAACCATACCATTCTCGAACCCTCATTGCATACGTGTTCAGCTCCTTATCAAGATCGTCAAGTAAACCAATGGCTTGAATGATCATTGTGTCAACCTAAAACAGAGCAGTGAGCATTATGATTACAGCATCCCAAAGAAATACAGATGCCCTATAAACGAAATGGCAAAACTCAAATTCCAGATACATATAGCTCAGCAAAAATACAAGCTAGATAATTATAGTGCAGCACAAACTTCTGCCAATCTAATGGTCTGTCTTGGAAAGCAACCAAAGAAAAATATTCTTTGAACAATGACCAATGAAGACAAGGGCACAAATGACATTGATTGAAAAGCACAAGGATACATGCCATAAACATGTTAGCTTACATTTACACATACATATCAACAAGCAATCATGGAACATGATTATAGATACAGTGATGATTGAACCACAGAAAATAAGACACGTCAATGTACAGTAAATACCTTATCAGGGCTGAACTTCAGTTTGTATCTGGATAGACTGTGAGACAAACCCAAGCTCATTGGTGCCAAATCTTGAGTAGCTAAACCAGATATGAGTTCTGTCAACTGACTCCTAACACCCCTCATCAATTCCATCACAGCATTGTTGTGAACACATTCTATTTTCTGCAATGTGACAATTGCTGACTTAGACAAGGTGAGACTAAAAATTGAAGATGACTGAAAAATAAATCTCTAGAAATATGGGCAGACCAGTTTATCCTTTAGTGAGACTAAAAATTGAAGATGACTGTTAAAAATTAGAAATATGGGCAGACCAGTTTATCCTTTATTGCATTTCCAAGCTTTGAATCAGCTACACCTAATGTTTCACCATCACAGTTAGCACGCAAGAATTTCCGCAGACCTTTGCTGGTTGAGCTTTCAATTATTTTGGTAGCAGCTTCCAAAGCCTCAGCTGTGTTCTCAAACTTTGAAAAGGCTTTCAACTTCACCACCTGGTGTTTGTACCAAATAACAGTTAAATTTGAGCCCGATAAAGCTCAAAACAAGCACATTACAGAAGGAAAAATTTCCTATAGCAGGCATGGCAACCAATTTAAAAAGAGAAACCAGGTACCCTTAGAGCTTGTAGATATTATATGCTATGTAAAATAAAAAAGTATATTTGAAGATGTTGGGCGTCAATTAAAAAAACAAAGAAGCAGGTTCTGTAATCAAACATATTTTTAATGAACCAAAGAGGTAATGTAGAATTCAGAATACTCAAATAGCAATACAAACAATAAATTTTTTAACTGATGCACATTAGATGTATAGAAAATAAAATTTTCAGCAAAAATATAAAATGAATCCTGGGCTGGCTATCCACTTTCTAAACTACATGAGATTAAGTACCTTTCTTGCCGAGTCTGGGCTTGAAAACTCCTTCCCCAAATCCTGTAGCAAGAGACATAAATGCACAATTAACTTTGGCACAAAAAAGAAGAAGTAATATTGCACTATTTGTGCAGAAAAATAAACTAGAGAAAACCCTACACTGAACCATAATTGCTCTAGCCTTCAGTTACTTGACAGACAAGAAAAGAAAAACTTGAATTGACCTCAGTATGTATAACAGAGATTCATACATTCACCACTCCAAAACGAATAACACATAAACAATAATGATGAACATGACTCTATTATCCTCACTTTTCTCAAAAACCAAACAACAGACAGAAACAGAGTTACAAAAAATGATTACCTCAACTTTAGATAGCTTTCCTTCATCCAAGACTTTAAAAAGGGCAAAGCCCCCTGGCGTCTCGAATAGCAAAAGCATCTTTCAATAACTCTGAAAACCCTGCAAAATCAACACCATCCCATTACTTTAAGCTACTAACTTAACCATCCCACCTCATTCCAACCAACTAAAACTCCCAAAAAATCCACACTTTACTAATTTTCACTTATCAAAACAAGCATTCAATGATTCACAAACTAACAACAAACTAAAAAAAACACAGACACAGACACAGAGAGTAACTCATTAGGGAACAAAGAGAACCAACTTCACGAAGTTAAAAGCAAAGCCCATATAAAAAAACAACCTTTTTAACACCAATCACTTGAAAAAGAAGAAACAAAAGACACGCGCTTTGGTATCAGACCTTTCTACCACACCCAAAATAGCAGATGTCATTTAAAGGGAGAAGAAAACAACGAGAAAATCCAGAGATATACACATATAGGAGTCTTTCATCATAAAAGAAGAGAAGTGGGGAAAAAGTAGAACTTTGAAGAGGAAAATTGCATACCTCTCTTTACAACAACTGCGTTCTCCAGGGGAAAGAAGGAAGGGTGCTTTTAGGGTTTAAGGGGCTTTTATACATTGGAGTACTAGCGGTTCACAGTGAGGCTGAGAGTCGAGACTCCCTGTTTAAAAGGGAGGCTAGGGAGTTTTTAGTACTCGCTGTGGCTGGTGGACATCTGTGATAAACGGGGGTATATTAGGGATTATAAAAACCTAGTTGGGAGTTTTTGGGTAAGTTGGGGTTTTTTGGCTCACGTGTCATGTCAAGGGTTAAGGTGGTGTTTGCATTTATTTATTTTTGTTCACTAGGGTTTTTCGATTAAACTTTGTCCATCATTTTGTCGAAAAAGACCCCTGATTTATTAATTTATTTAATTGAACATTTTTTTAATTGTATTTAATCGAATATAATTTTTCTAAATAGAAAAGGAGACAATTGGGTTCTATTTCCCAATTAGGAGGAGGATTTATTTCATCTCCGTACTCAATTGCGAGAATGTTCCATTTAGATTAGGTTTTATAAAATATTCATATTCATCAGGATAAAAAATATCCCAATCAGGTTTTATCGAATACTTATAAGAACAACAAATTTTTCTATTTATGAATCTTTACAAATATAATTTAGGAATGATAAATTAAGTTCTGAATTTTTCTCTCACAGTGTTCTTTTAAATACAAATTCAACGTGACAGAATGGATTAGGTGAACTCCATGATAGTTATCTGACTTGTCATGCTGCAATGCTCACCACCGTTGCCTCTCTCTGGTTCCTGCTGAGTGCATGATGTTCTAACCTTTCTTTTGACGTCTTCTGCAGGTTGATGAGGCTAGGCGGCCTCGGGCAACCAGTTGGCTTTTTTTATGTTTTTTTCTCAAGGAGCTGAGGTTTTTTAACCCTATAACAACTCATTCTCTCTGTTTCTTAGACCGAGGAAATGGGGTCTATGCACATTGAATCAACGATTTCAGGAGATTAAATTGATTTGTAGGTGGTTCATTTTCCACACTCAATGGCTTCGTTTTTGCTCAATAGAAAAAAGGGGTCAAACATTGACATTGCAGGCACCATCACACTCCCCGTAAAAGATCTAAGCATCTGTTTCATAAAACATCTTCATTTCTTATATAGAGGCTTCGAAAAAAAATCCTGACAAAATAGCAATTTACAAACATTGCTTTCTAACAGAGTCAATAAATAGATAAAATACAGGTGCTCCTATGGATCTTGGCCACCTTAGTGATGAAAACAGAAAACCGTCTAAAGAGCTTCATCAGACGCCATTAATATCCCTCCTGTTGTTTTTCTCCAGCTATCCCGCAGCAACGAGTGGGCCATGCAGCTAGTAAAATCTAAAAGCAAAATGATGAGCTATTTGGTATCTATAACCCGCTCATATTTGAAGCTTACCAAGCTCTGAACTTGCTGTTTTCACGTCTTCTGGTACTGCTGTAGCTTTGCTCTCTCTATCAGGTACCACTTGACCTGAAGTTGGCACTCTCCTTGCTGGAGGAGCTGAACAGACAGGAACAACTGATCTTATTCGAACAGCCGGTGCCATGAAACGCGGGTGCACACCACCAAGGTTCATTCTTTGAGGCAAGGGCCTGGCCAGATATGAATGAGATCCTCCAGTTCGCATTCTTGGTGGAGCAGGATTTTGTGCTGCCAAATCTTGCAGTTTGGGCACTGAAGGAGGTCCCATATTGTTGTTAAGTGCAGAAGGTGCAGTGGATGAAGGTAAAGGCCTCACAGATCTGATCATTACAGGAGGTGCTGCAGATGGAGCTGGTCTACAACTCCTGAACGTGCTTGCTCTTGGAGGATACTGCAGAGTAGCCTGGGAAGACTGAAAACTGTGCTTGTTTTGTGCTTGGAAGTCCGAAGGTCTATATCCAGAATCTGTTTTGCTGCTGGAAGCCCATTCAAATTTTCTAGTTTGGTTATCTCCTGGTTGAACATTTTCAACTTTTCTTTCCAGCTCAACCTTCATCTGTTTGTCATCCATATCAACTGGGTCCTTGGATCTTGGTTCAGCATTGAAGTTGCCACTAACAGGGGGATCTGGAATAACTGATGTAGAGCACTGGAGTGATTCTTCTGGTTTCTCCTCGTGTATCTCACTAATGGTAACCGTGGACTCTCCCTTGATTGGATCAGGGACAACATGATCAGCCAAGTACAATGGTCTTGAAGTGGCGACTGTAATTCTGGGTCCTACAGGTACAGGTTCTTGCTCTCTCAGAGGACCAAATAGAACTGAATCAGAGGGGAGTATGGACTGCATATATGGAAGAATTTGAGGGCCAGGAGAAACTGATGGAATTTGAAGTGCCAATAAACGGTTTTGCAGCTGAAACAATTCTTCTTGCTGCCACATTTGGTATATGGCCATTTCAGGGGAAAAGCTAGGGTAAGCCCAGCTATGGCACTGCACCGGATATAAAGTTGGTATTGGAGGGGTTAAGTCATTGCAGACGGGAAAGAATCTCTCCTGGCCTCGCTGGGAATCATTTTGCTTGGAGTTCTTTAACTCAGCTGGTTGCAGAGATGCAAGAACACGAGCAATAACAACTTGTTCTTGTTCTTCACTAATCCTTTTAGCCTCCACTGGCGAAGAAGTCGATGAATTGGAAGATGATGTGCTGTGCTGAACCACTACAGAAATGCAAATATTCAGGATGGTCATCGTATTAAAATACTGGTAAAGCTCTTATCAAAGTCATAGAGCCAATAATTCAACGAATAACAAGTGGTAAAACTGTAGATGTCAAAATGAAATTCATGTACTTGATAGCTCTAAACTAAGGAAAACATGTGGAAGTTTCCGCAAAGATTATATAATAATAAAGTCATACAATTCTGAACCAAAAATGTGGGAGTTCTTTGCAAGATGAAAGCATTTTTTTCACAAATTTCTAAGTACATGAACAGTTTGCGAGTTTTAATGGACCCCACATGGGACCACAAATCAAGCAATTGGTGATGTTCATGTATGTATCTCATGAACTTTCCCTTTTTAGGCAAGACAGTCTAAGACTTAGATCGCATGTATCTATGCCTACAGCTTTCTAGTTTCGAAGCAAAATGGAGGAGAAAGATGAAACAGAAGCACTAATTCCCAGTTCCCAACTTGCTTATTCTAGGGAGCAAACTACCTTTTACAAACTGAAAAAGGCAGATAAAGTACTACTTGTTTAGATTCTAACCAAGCCCGAGCAATCTGAACAGGAATTGTATAGAAAGATGAAACGCGTACATCTTTTCAGAGCAGACCAAGCAGCCATGGCTGCATTCTTCTGCGCTTGTTTCTTTGTTCTTGCTGATTCTCCAGTAAAGCTCATTCCTGCAAGCTCAACAGTGCACGAGAACACAGGAACATGGCCAGGTCCTGATCGAATTGTGGTGTACACAGGAAGCTTTAACCCAGCTCTGTGAGCAGTCTCCTGGAGCAAGTTCTTGTAGACTCCTGTTTCATCCTGAGCAGAGGAAAGCATAAAAACATATTGTCTGGACTGTAAAATGTTGAACTTTTGAGGTAAACAATGGATAAGTTACAGAAAACTAACAAAAGAGCATATTAGAGAATGATGTGCTATGAAGATGCAAATATGAAGAAGGCTATAAGTCAATTTAAACAAACAAAGATCCAAAAACATTTTCTTTAAGCCACGCATAGCTTGTCCTGTATTTTGTTTATTTCTTTCATTCTTGCTGTATATCAACCTTAACCTTCTCTTCACCATAAATAATATTTACAATTGTACTGGATATTATGTTCTTGAGTAGGTTGTTCCTGGGAGAAAAGAATGAAGGGTGCAAAATTGTCAAGAGAAGAAAATTTATCATTTCAATCCCAGGATAGTCATTTTTCAAAAAAAAAAAAAAACCTACAGTGTTCTATTTCAGTTCTGTGATGAATTACAAGTATTATTGTCCCAGAAATTCTCCAGATGTGGTTATTATAGAGTAATTGATGTTTCGAATAAGACAGTTAATTTTAAAATGGGAATAGCATGACAATTTAGTGAAAGTTCAATTCAAATAGACCCATGACTCTCTAAGTGGTAGCTTGTCGGTGGTGGGCCCAAGCTTACAATGTTAGCATAGATAAACAATGCAGATAAATCAATTCATGACATATTCCAGTTGACAACATCTACACTGCTATAATGTATCTAAAAATGCAAAGTTATAGAGCACAAAAGCCACATTGATCAGAATCCAGAAAATGCTGGAGACTACTGTAACTTTTGGGCATAGTGTTGTGATCTAAAGCCCTTGGATGTTGGTTTGAGGCTGGTGAGAAAGAGAGATAACTAAGCACTGTAATTTCTAACTGAACTAAGACTATTTTTGAAACCAATAAAAGAACATAGATATATAGACAAGTGCTTACCAGAACTCCAGCAATTAATGCTTTAGAAGGGCCTCTGCTTGCTAGGGTGTTCAGAGCTACCTCAGCTGCAGCATGTTCTGCTAACCTCAGAGTGGAGTAAAAAGTAGGGCTTTCAAAAGTCTCTCCATTGAAGTTGACAGTAGATTTGAATCGAGGGGCATGATCTGGCCCTTCCCTTATACACGAATAGGATGGCAGGTTGAAACAGCTTCTTTGAGCCAACTCTTGTAGTTGGTTCTTATACATATCTCTACATGTGAAATTGGAAATATATTAAAGCAAACTGTTTGGGGACGAGGGAGAAGAAATTCACTTCTTTTACACTTAATATGAAAAGGCATACAGAAAATCATACAAGGATTTCCTGACTGATATTGGGAAAAAGCAAAACCTTTATGCTGTGATGCTGTTTCCAATTCGTGCACAAGTTCAACATGCAAGAGAAGTGAAACAGAAGAAACTTGTTTCACATATTATACAAGTAGTCAACCAGAATTCAGTTTCCTTTATGTAACTTCCTTTCTGCAAGAATGTCAAGCTCTTATGATGATGAAACTCTGATTGCCTGCCACCTAAACATGATAGCAGACAAACACAAATGGATTGCCAAAAAAATGGTTTTCAAGTTCAAAAGGATAACTTGTTAGAAATGTGCCCATCCATCTACTTATGCGTGAAGGTATTCAACAAGAGACTATTAACCAATGTATAAAAAT